ACCAGCCTGACTAACATGGAGAAACCCCATTTCTACTAAAAATACAAAATTACCCGGATGTAGTGGCACATGTCTGTAATCCCAGCTACTCAGGAGGTTGAGGCAGGAGAATTGCTTGAACCCAGGAGGTGGAGGTTGAGGTGAGCTGAGATCGCATGCCACTGCACTCCACCCTGGGCAACAAGAGAAAAACTGTGTCTGAAACAAAAAAAGAAAAAGGAAAATGCATTTTATCTCCACTGTTTAAAAAACTATCTTGATTAGAGGAGAAGACCTCCTGGCAAAAAAACAAAAACAAAAACAATCTTGAGCATATACTATATTTCAGTATATAGTTGGTCTTATTTTCTAGCCTTTTAGTCTGTTGCATTGAACAGTTTATTTATGCACCAGTTGCTCACATATCTTTAATATGTTTTGATTTTGGGGCCTCTAGCCTCCAGAACTGGGTGAGAAAAATTTTCAGTTATTTTAAGCCACTCAGTTTGTGGTAATTTGTGACAGTAACCTAGGAAATTGGTACAATGACAGAGCTGGGATTTGAACCCAAGTCTTGACTCTAAGTCCTGTGTTCTGAATGGGAGCACAGGAGTATTCATTTCTGTTCCTAAGAGAGAGTGTTTATGAGGGGAAGAAAAGGGGAAATTAGTATTATTTATGAGGGGAAGAGAAGGGGAAATTAGTATAATTCAGTTGCCTTAGGTCTCCCCAGCCTGTGGGTATCAAGAGACGGAGTGTGCTGAATATTCTCTGTGTATTCTTCATTCTTTTCCATCCTGCCCTGTGTCCAGGAGGCTGACCTCAAGGGACGGTTTAGCCTCCCATGGCCTTGCCATTTGGCTTCTGGTTGGGTTTGCCCAGTGCTGGGCATTTGCAAGCCACAGGAAGGTGGCTCCCTCCATGCTGAGCCACAGCTTGCTGGTGGCTGTGGTCTTTACCCAGGCCCACGGCTTCTGTCTTGTGGCCTATGGCTCTAGCTCCTGCCCAGTGGTTGGCTGCAGTAACCACTTCTGCCTTTTCCCTTTCAGGCCTACTGGTGGTAATAGCTTCTTGCTGATACCTAGCCTTCAAGTACTGCACCAGTCTCTTACCGTTTTTCCCTAACCCCACTCAAATCCCCATAAAAAATCCATTTTTTAAACTTTCTTAGTCATCACTTTTACGGGTACCGTGTTTCCTACTGAGATCCCGACCACTCTGGGGACCATATTGCATGACACACAGAGAGCAGCTCTGGTTTCCTTGACTCTAGCCCTCAGTGCTCATTTGGAGCCACCTTAAGTCCTGACCATTCCCTGCGCCTCTAGGAAGGCACTTCTGCTTTGCGGCCCTCAAGGAATGCAAGTTGCTCAGGGACTATGGCAAAGTCAGGGAGAAGCCTGTCTCCTCTCTGGGTTACTCCTACACAGAAGTCCCAAGCAGGACTGCCTGGGTTCAAGGGCTCCCTGCCCCATCTACAGGAACTTGGATAGGTGTGGATCTGGGCCAGGTATTTGAGTGACAGAACTGCCTCTCTCTCTGAAGCCTTGGAGGGATAAAGATCTATTACTCTGCCAAGCTCACAGAGCAGGCCCTCCTTTAATCAAGATGAGCTTTCTTCTTAGAGGTTCTCATTTCTCATGCAAACAGACTCCTGACAGGGTGTGCTTCCCTGTTGCCAGACATGCCTAGACATATCTAATTCTACTTACACCTGAGCTGGGATCCTTTTATACAGGGTTAGGAAAGTAAATGTGGGCCAGATTGCAGAAGGCCTCCAACACATCAAACCAGTTTTAACCTAATATCGTAGGCAAGAAATCACTGAATGTATTCTAGATAGGGAGAGACTTGGATCAAGAACTGCTAAGAGCTTAGCTTGGTTGCCATCTCAGTGCCCATATTCTTGCTCTCCCTCTAGCTGAAGTATCCCCTCAGCAAAGAGGCCCCATGAAGGCATTCTCCATTACGGTACATTATCTATTTTCAGCAGAGTGTTTCTCCTTCTCTGAAATCGCACTCTTTTCTTCTTTTTTCTTCCCTATTCCATGGGGCAGGGAGATATTCATCTTAGTTAAGGCTATAGTCTCAGGGCATGGCTTATAGTAGACACTCTGAATACATGTTAAATTTGTTGAATGAATGAATGAATTTGGTCCTATGAATGAATTTAGATGAGGAAGCGCAGAGAGGTCAAGGGACTTAGTGACCTGCCTGAGTCCGTATTAACTCATTACTGGCATAACTGGGATTAAAACCAGGCTACCTAACCAAATCTGCTACCCCCAGGAGAGGCAGGAGCTGGGGCACGGGTTAGTAAGAACGGTGGGGAGAGGATTTCTGAGAAGGTCTGGTGACATGTTGGCCAGAACTGAGATGGGGAAGAAAAGACAAGCTCTTGGAAGCTGAAATTAACATGCATTGGGTATCTACTCTGTGCCAGGCACTGTGCCTGATGGTTTGCCTGTGTGGTCTGATTTATACCCTCTGCTGTATAAATCCCAATTTATTATTATCCCAATTTTCATGAGCTAAGGAAATAGGGGCACAAGAGTTTAAATAAATTGCCTGCTTTTACCCATTTATTTATTTTCATTTTTATTTTTGTTAGTCTTTATTTCATAATCATAAACTTAACTCTGCAATCAAGCTAGGCATGGAAGGGAACAAGCAAAACATGGAACCCAAAGGGAACTGCAGTGACAGCACAGATTCTAGGATACTACGAACAAATGGGGTGGAGGACACTCTCCTGAGCTACAGAAGGAACGGTCTGGTGGTTAAGATAAAACACAAGTCAAACTTACTAGAGTTGTCCACAATCAGCAATGGTGATCTTATTGCTGGTCTTGCCATTCCTGGACCCAAAGCGCTGCATGACCTCCACAGTATTCATGTCTTCTTTCACCTTGCCAAAGACCACATGCTTGCCATCCGACCACTCCATCTTGGCAGCGCAGATAAAAAACTGGGAACCGTTCGTGTTGGGTTCAGCATTTGCCATGGACAACATGCTGAGACCTGTATGCTTTAGGATGAAGCTCTCATCATCAAATTTCTCCCTGTAGATGGACTTGTCACCAGTGCCATTATGGTGTGTGAAGTCACCACCCTGACACGTAAACCCTGGAATAATTCTTTTTTTTTTTTTTTTTTTTTTTGAGACGGAGTCTCGCTCTTGTTACCCAGGCTGGAGTGCAATGGCGCGATCTCGGCTCACCGCAACCTCCGCCTCCTGGGTTCAGGCAATTCTCCTGCCTCAGCCTCCTGAGTAGCTGGGATTACAGGCACACACCACCATGCCCAGCTAATTTTTTGTATTTTTAGTAGAGAGGGGGTTTCACCATGTTGACCAGGATGGTCTCGATCTCTTGACCTCGTGATCCACCCGCCTCGGCCTCCCAAAGTGCTGGGATTACAGGCTTGAGCCACCGCGCCCGGCAACCCTGGAATAATTCTGTGAAAGCAGGAACCCTTATAACCAAATCCTTTCTCTCCAGTGCTCAGAGTACAAAAGTTTTCTGCTGTCTTTGGAAACTTGTCTGCAAACAGCTAGGAGATGCGGCCCAAGGGCTCGCCGTAGATGGCAATGTCAAAGAACACAGTAGGGTTGACCATGGCTGATACTACAAGCCTCCAGGCTACGGCAGCGTCTGCACAGCCAGCTTTTATCCATTTACAAAGAATTGACTCCTAAGTTTGATCTCTTCCAACCCTCAACATGGCCTCTTTGAACACAGGATTAAACCCAGGAATTCTCTGTGAAGCTGATCACCATGCTTGGGGTTCATGGTCAAATAGAAGAGACAACAAGAATTAAGTATTCATTCAGGGAAGGACTGGGGAACAGGAGTCTGTGGCTCTCACCTTGCTTTGTAAGAGAAACTGAAGCACAATAAGGGAGGAGCCTCCTTTGATAAGAGCAGTTAGAGGTGGAAAGAGGGCTAGAGATGGATATTCACCCCAAGGGCCTTTGGCTTCAAGGTACTGTAGAGGGGCAGGACAAGGGGGCCAGGCAGGGTGGAGCAGAAGGCTTTGGGGACAGAAGTAACACAGATCACTTTTTCCTTTTCTGGATTCCAATCTAGGGAGAAGAATCAGGGGTGTGGGATGAAGTGGGGTGTGGTAGGCTGAGTCCAGTCCAGACCAGGAGTAGAGCAAGTCCCTCCCTGCCCCCAGCAGGGCCCCTTCCTTGCAGTGGGGTGCTCCTGGTCCCTTGCCTGCACACAAACATATGATGGTCCGGCAGTCCAGATGTTCCAGGGCAGGCCTAACTTAAAGTGTTATGTCTTTTGTCCCCATAGGTATATTTGTGTGTATCAGACTGTGGCTCTTTAGTTTGGAAAATAAGGTCACTGAGGCTGAGACATAGGCCCTGCCCTCCACAGGGCCAGGTTCTGTTCAGGCCTAGGGCTGTATAAGGTGTTCTTTGTGCTTCGGATGTGAGCAGAGCCTCGGTGTTGAAGGTGGCCCCCAGCCCAGGGCTAGTCCCAGACCACTGACACCATTTGGCCGGCTGGTCAGGGGTTGGTTGCAGGAGACCTCGGAGGTTACATTACTGCCCAGACCCTCTATCTCCTTCTCCTCACAGCATAACTCAAACGTGCTAAAAAGGGCTTTCATAAACAACTCGAGTCTGAAGACTCTGGCAGCTCTCCCCCCGCTCCAGCCCTGGGGGGCTTCAGGAGGGTCTGGGCTGCCCGCCAGCCCCAGGCTGTCCCTAGACTTCAGTGGGGGGTGGGGAATCAGTGCTGTTACCCTTTCCTTCCTGCTTGGTCTCCAGCCCAGAGTTTCCTTAGGCCCCGGCCTCCCTGGGCTCCCCACCCTACTCTACCTTAACCCTTTCCTCCCAGGGAAGGAGTGGCCGAGGTCCCCGTTCTCTAGGGACGCCTGGGAGAGGCGGTTGTGGGTGGGGGAGAAGGTGGGGGCAAAGGGGAGAAATTCCTGTTCCAAATCTCAAAAAACGGTCCCGGAAACCAACCCTCCCCTCCTTCCTCTTCCCCGTCCTCCCACTAGAGAGAGGGGAATATGGAAGGAAACTAACTTTGACCCCTGGATTCTGGCTCTGGGCCCAAAACTTGGGTGGAAGGCAGAGGCCTCCGGGACCCTCCCCGCCCCCTCCTCCCCGCCCCGGCTCCCCCTCCCTCCTCTCCGTGCCCCTTTAAGCTATCCAGCAGACTGAGAAAGCGTCGCTCCAGGAGGGGCTGGCGGAGTGCTGGAGGGGGAAGGCCGGGGGCGGAGGGAAGGGCGGTGGGAGCCCGGCCGGTCCCACCCCTAGCTACAACCCCGGCAGGAAGAGCTCGTCGCGGGAGCCGCTGCCGAGAGGGAAGAAGCTCCGGAGGGCGGGCGCCCGAGCCTTGCCCGGTAGGTCCGGCCGCCGGGAGGAAGAGGCCTTGCGGGGAGCGCGCCGCGGGGAGGAGGGGGCGTGGCTTAGGCGCCGCGGGCTGGAAGCTGGTGGCTGGGGGCTGGGGGCTGGGGCGCCGGCCGCGCCGAGACCCCAGTGACACTGTAGTCTCCTTCGTTCCAGGAGCGGGCGGGGCAGCCATGCTCCTGTCCGGGGGCGATCCCCCGGCGCAGGAATGGTTCATGGTGCAGACAAAATCGAAGCCTCGTGTGCAGCGCCAGCGGCTGCAAGTGCAGCGCATCTTCAGGGTCAAGCTGAACGCCTTCCAGAGCCGCCCGGACACCCCCTACTTCTGGCTACAGCTCGAGGGGCCCCGAGAGAACATGGGCAAAGCCAAGGTAAACAGCTTCTCCCCACCCCCACCTATCTCTTCCAGCCAGATCCCTCTCTCCCCTTCCCCTGGGGAGATGGTGGTCCGCAGAGGCACCACCGCCCTCCCCCTGCCTGGATTTAGCAGTGTGGCAGGCAGGTACTGGGCCATCCTCCTGCCTCGCCAGATCAGCCTGCGCTCCTTCCTTGCCCGCTCTTTCCCTCTAGTTTCTTCCTTTCCTGCCCCACCCCTTCCCTACGTGTCACCTCTGTCCCTCAAGTGCACTGAGAGCGCCTCCTCGGTGTGTGTCCCCGCCATGAGCCTTCCCTGGCCAGGGCCCCAGCATCCGCAGCCCCACTTTTCCATCTGGGGAGCAACTCAAAGCGCTGCATTGCTGTGGCCTCTGCAACACACCTCTTTGTTCTCCACCAAGACTCTGGAAGGCCCAGGTCCTTCTGTCCTCTTTTAAGTCTCCTTAAATCCTGGGCTGCCCCTTGGTGCTAGGACTGGAGGGCCCTTTAAGGACGCTTCTAGAGTGATACTGGCATTTTACAGATGAGGTACTGGTGGTCAGAGAGGGTGAGGGGGCCTGCCTGACGGCTCAGATTCAGGTAGGTGAGGTGGTGGGGATTGGACCAGAACCCAGGGATCTGGGCTCCCTGCCTCACACTCTTGATGCCATCCAGCTTCTTGTAGGGGTTCAGAGTGGGGTGCAGCCCTCTTCCCAGATTCCCTGGTCTTGGAGATGGGTGGGAATCTGGGAGGAGGGCTGTGAGCTTTCAGATAAAAGGGCTTGCTGTGTGGGGCTGGACATTGGACAGGCCAGATCACAGCATGCCTGCAATCTCCCTGGCTTCTCTCATAAGCTTTTCCTCCACTTGGGCCTCTCAGATTGCCCTGTCCCCCAAGGTTTCCCTCTTCCCTTAGATTCCTGTATCTTATCTCTTCTTTGTAGGAATGTTGTAGCCTCCCTCTGCCCCAGACCACCTGCCCCCCAACACACACACATACTGTAGCTGGGTCTACACCTATATCCTAATTGGTCAAGGCCATGGGTGGGGAGATCCAGAATTCCGACAGCCAGCCTGGCAGGCAGGCTGGGAAGTTCCTCCCTCAACTCCTCTGTGGAGCTGCTAGGTCAGCAGTTTTTCCAATTTTGACGGAGGTGCTAGGAGAGGGAAGGGATCTTCCCGGAGAACAGATGTGCAGGAGGCCTTGAGAGTAACATGTTTCAGAAGCCATAGGCTAACAAGAGAAGCCTTTTAGGCTCTTCAGATTCTTGATATTTTGGTTACTTTGAAAGGCAGCAGCTCACCCTCTTATGGGACTCTCACTTTTACTCTGTTGCCCAGGCTGGAGTGCAATGGCATGGTCTCGGCTCACAGCAACCTTCACCTTCTGTGTTCAAGTGATTCTCCTGCCTCAGCCTCCTGAGTAGCTGGGATTATAGGCATGCGCCACCATGCCTGACTAATTTTTATATTTTAATAGAGATGGGGTTTCACCATGTTGGCGAGGCTGGTCTCAAATTCCCAACCTCAGTTGATTCACTCACCTTGGCTTCCCAAAGTGCTGGGATCACAGGCATGAACCACTGTGCCCAGCCAGGACTCACACTTTCTGAGGCCCCTCCTCAATCCACTTCTTGCTTAAATCCTGGATCAGCTTCTCCAGGCCTGCCTGTTCCATCTGCCACTGCTGCTTCAGGGTTCTTCAGGCCACAGATCCTTATGCCTCAGGCTCCCACTCTAGGCCCTGCTAATGGAATCAGTGACTCCCTTGATTCCTAGCCCTGTTCCTCCACTCCCCTTTGTCTTCCCTTTGGGAAAGGCATTGTTGAAAAGTGGGAACCCAGCATGAGGGGATTCTGGGTAGCTCCATGCCTTATTGTACACAATGAGCAGAAAGAACTTTGTTGGCAATTTGGAGCAGGAGGACAGGGAAGGTGGGGAGGATAAAGTTTTGTCTCAGGGGTTAGGGGATCTGGGTTTGATTTGTTGTCACCAAGTTACAACCAAAGTAGGAAAGGTATGGTGAGGAGGGTTTGAGGTTGGGGTTTGCTAACTGTTAACTGGGTGACCAGTTCAAATAATGTATCCTCTCTTGAGCCATTGCCTCATCAGACGATAATACCTGGTTCATGAAGAGGTTGTGAGAGTCTGCTGAAATCATGCATGTTGCAATACTTTTATAAAATGTGGAGAGCTATAGACCATAGATGTTAGCTACTGTTGTTTTTAACTTTTGAGCAAATCCTTTTCCCTCTCTGGGTCTCAGTCTCCCTGTTTGTAAAGTGAAAGTCTTGGGTTAAATGCTGTCTAAGGTCCAGCTATCTGACACATGAATGTTTCCCAAGTGTAAGGATGTCTCGTGGTTCCCATAGGGAGGTGGCATGGCTGACGCCAATCTCAGCTGTAGACACAGAATCATACACTTTGTTAATGGCCTCCTGAACATAGGCTAACAGGCGGAGAGGACTCTGGGAGACCATAGGTTGCAGGATGTTGGGAGGGCTGAGGGTGAGGGTGGCTTGTTGAGGTCAAGGGGAAGAGGAGTCGAGAAGGATACAGGCTCATCTAGAGAAGGGCCTGGGTGTGTTTTTATGTGGCTGGTTTTTTGGGAAAATCTCTGTAAAACTTGAGTGCTTTCAAATTGTTTTGTTGTGGAGGGATGAAGAAACATTGAAGACATTGCTGTGAAACACATTCCCAGGGAGCAAAACAAACACTGGGGAGGCCTGGCCTCTGAGGTGAACTCAGTAAGTGGAGAGGCAGGTTTTAATAATTATCAACGGAGACCCTGGACAAGCCCTGCTCTACCCTTCTGCCCTTTGGCAATGAGGTGAGGATGGGGTGGGGGCGGAGAGGAGAAGTGACCATGGAGGGAGGTGATGGGGAGCCCAAAGGCAGTGGTAGGGGGCAGGAGTGCCTTCTGGAGACTGGGTTCTGGAGCTCTGGTACAGGGTGTGGCTTGCTGACATCTGGCTTGGCCGTCAGATGGAAAGTGAACTATCTTTGTTGCACACTAACTGTGAGCAGTACCCTGAGAGTTGGTTGTCGTCAGCCTCTGGAGTTGGCTCCTATGGACCTGCTGTTAAAATTTCAGGAATTGTGCAAGTGAGTGGAGGAGTATTTACAGACATGGTGGGAATATTTATGCCACAGAAATTAGCAAATGCGACAAATCAGGGTTACCCTCCACCTCCAGCTGATTGTTAAACATTTACCAGCACACCTACTTGTGTTGTGGGCACCGAATCCTTCTTTTTCTTTAAACTTAAATTTTCCTTTATCAAAGTAATACACATTTGAAAAGTCCAATCATTACCAAAAGGCTTAGAAGAGCACATGGTGGTTTGCTGCCCTGGCCCTCCCAACTCCCCCTTCAGTAACCGTACCCATAGACAGTTTTGCTCTGGCATTTATGTATCTCCACATTTCTAAAAGAATATGTAGGCACTGTTTCTTTCAATTAATCTATTTTAGATGTTATCTTTTTTTGGTCCCATTATTGTATGTGAGGATTTAGCTCCCTTTCACTGCCATTCCCTCTTCTCAAGATAGTTCTGTTTCAATTATCTGCTAAATCTGCATTTAGCATTGCCTCATTATGCCTGTGCACATAGCGTTCACATGTAAGCACTGAAGTGTACGATGATTTGTTTTCTTTCTTACTCTTTGGTTTCACTGAGGTTAAGGACTCCTTGTTTTTCAATTTGCCTGTTTTTCTTTGTGCCTATTGTTAATTCTTCTCACTTCCAGTAGCCTCTCAGTGCAGTTTTCTACAAGGTCAGCCTATCAGTTCAAGGTGTTCTTTTGGTTCTAAATTTTTTTCTTGGAGCCATCTCTCCTGTCTGGTCAGTTGCTTTCCAGGCTGACACAGCTGTCATTCTTGGCATCCTTTGCCTTTTTTCTTTGCTAAATACTCATGTCCTGGACCTTGAAACTTTTTCTTTCTTGGGTTGATGGAACACATCCATCTGTAGTCTCAAGTTAAAAAGATGGTGCAGCAGCAAAGTGTATGCAGATTCTTGCTTTCAACATGCCTGTCCCTTGAGTCACACCCTCCAATCTGAACTAGTTGTCCTGTGTGTGGACAACTGTCACCCTAAAACAGTGCCCAGCATGTAGTCAAGAATTATTTGTTGAATGGATGAATAAATTCTGAGATTTCTCTTCACCATCATTCAGCAGACTGCCTTTGCTTCTTTCCTATTTGGTTTACTGGAAAACTGCTCTCCAGTGGCTTCCTGGGAAAGATTTTACAGGAGGAAGAATGCTGAGGTTGCCTGTCCACATTGCATAGCCAAATGATACTTGATTGATAGTTTGGTTGATATCAAATTATAAAAGGAAAACTATTTTCCCTCAGAAATGTGAGGGTTGTGCTCCATTTGGAGGAGTCTGAAGCTATTCTGGTCCCTGGCCATTTGCATGAGATGTTGTTTTCTCTCTGGAAGTTGTCAGTTTTCCCCAATGTTCTACAGTTTTCCAGTGAGGCCCCTTTGTGTGGGTCTGTTTTCGTCCATCATCAGGCACTCTTGTACTTAGGGGGCCTTCTATCTGGACACTCATGTTCCTCAGATCCGGGAAATTGGGAGAAATACTTAGTGGGTTATTTCCTCTCCTATGCTGTCCCTGTCCTTTCTTTCGAAAGTCCTCTACTTTTCATATGTTTTCTCCTCTTTTTCGACTTGTTAACTTTTTGTTCTTTCTGAAGATTTCCTTAATTTTGTCTTTGAAGTCTTTTCTTGGGTCTTTCATTTCTGCAGTCAAATTTTTAATGTCTAGAAGTCATTTATATTCCCTCTTTTTAAAAACAGTATCCTCTGCTTTTAAAATAAAAGTTGGAATGTATGTATCCTATTGTATTCTTGTTTAGTGTGTACCATGTTATCTGTTGTCTCTCTGAGGAGAGAAATGATAGCAAGCTTTTTTTTTTTTTGGTTGGGGGGATGGAGTCTCACTCTTGTCGCTCAGGCTGGCGTGCAGTGGCACGATCTTGGTTCACTGCAACCTCCGCCTCCCGGGTTCAAGCGATTTTCCTGCCTCAGCCTCCCAAATAGCTGCGGCTACAGGTGCTTGCCACCATGCTCAGCTAAGTTTTGTATTTTTAGTAGAGACGGGGTTTCACCATGTTGGCCAGGATGGTCTCGATCTCTTCACTTCCTGATCTGCCCACCTTGGCCTCCTGAAGTGCTGGAATGACAGGTGTGAGCCGCCATGCCTGGCCGGTAGTAAGCTTTTTGAAGTTTTCTTCTCCTCACCTAGTTTCTCTTCTTTCAGTTTCCTTTTTTTTTCCTTTATGGTTTGGTCTCTGTGTTTCACATTAGAAGTTTTCCTCATAAGCCTGATAATCCTTGCATAATAAAAAGTGAAGGACAAAAAGCTGATTGGGAGCAGAGGCTGTAGGCAAGACTTGTTGATTTTGAGCTTGAGTGTACAGAGATTGTGGGTATTGTTGGTTAGGGACCCCATTTTGTGATCCTTAAGTCTTTGCTTGTGGGTTGACCAGAGTTTCCAGAATGTATGCCTCTCTTCTCCAGCCTAGAGGATCAGGGTCTGGCTGCCAAGCAAATCTCTGAGTGGGAAGAATGAGTTTCTCTGCATTTAGCTTGCATCGTATGTATCATTCTTTGGCCCTCCTCACTCCATCCATGTTTTTTGTGTGGTACTCACACCTTCCATTATGCTGATCAACCTCTGCTCCTAAGACCGCATTTTGCACTCCTTGGAGAACACCCCTCCAGTGAGCGGGAAGGTATTTGCCAAGCCTGTGTGTGTGTGTGTGTGTGTGTGTGTATGTGTGTGTGTATGAATGTGTGTGTGTTGGGAGTGGTTGGGCTCCCAGATCTAATCGCTCCTCAAAGAACCTGGTTTTTCATGTTCCCTTTCACTCCCAATTCCAGAGTTTCTTGGTGTTGTTTTCTGAGCCTTTTGAGTATCCTGCAGTATAATTTGGGGTGGTTCTGCAAAGTAGACAATGAATGATGCCTGACTTATGAGAAAAGAGAATCCTAATTAGGTGTTAAGTAATAAAGCACCTTGACAAGTACAGAATAGTATTAAAATATTTTGTGTAAATGCTTTTATTTAACTTACAAGTTGACTAACGACCTGTGGGATATTGGACAATATATTCTTACAAATACAGTGCTCTTATTCTGTGCCCTTTTCTATTCATCTGCATCATCTTTCTATGTAGTTGTTCCTGTCTCTTCTTCTCTACTTTTTCTCCTCTTGGAGGAAGAAGGTCTGGGTTGGCTTTAGGCAGGAAAGTTGTTCAGGTATTTTCAGGCTGTAAATGCCTGTTGTTTCCTTATCTTTTCTCCCTCTACAGTATAGACAGCATCATGGTAAGGCCCCGACTGGGGAGCTAGAGCGCCTGAGCATCCTAGCCTACTAACTGTGTGATCTTGGACATATGGCCTTCCTTGCTCATCGAAAATGGGGATAATCGTGTTTCCTTAAAGGGCAGAGAGAAGAATAAATAAGATAATATATGCAAAGTGCCTGACACATAATAAGCTCTCACTAAATATTAGTTCAGATTTATTATTTAAAAATGATCACAGTTCCTATATATCTCATAAATTTAAAATATTAGGTTAGGCATGGTGGCTCACACTTGTAATACCAGCACTGTAGGAGGCCAAGGTGGTGGGTGGATCACATGAAGCCAGGAGTTCGAGACCAGCCTAGGCGACATGGCGAAACCCCATCTGTACTAAAAATACGAAAATTAGCTGGGCATGGTGGTGCTCGTCTGTAGTCCCAGCTACTTGGGAGGCTGAGACAGGAGAATTGTTAGTACCTGGGAAGCAGAGGCTGCAGTGAGCCAAGATCGCGCCACTGCACTCCAGCCTGGGTGACAGAGTGAGATTCTATCTCAAAAAATAAAAATAAAATGAAATATTGAACAGTTGATGGAACCATAAATATTCTAAGCTCTCTTCAGAAAGACAAAGAAGCTACCCATAATCTTCTTCCCCAGCACATCACTCCATTTTTACATGTTGTTTTCACGTCATTGAAATAGGGGTGCATGGGGTGGGGAGTATTTGTTAAGGTCTGAGACAGTTAGCCCACAGCTGCTCAGATTTACCCTTGCTAGGCAGTGGGACCAGATGAAGTTGGGATAGGAGGGGTTGGCTTGGGATGTCTGTCAGGTTTTGAGTTGGTTTTAGACTGATTGCAAAGGTGTTAGACATGTATTTCAGGCTCTTTGAGAAAGAGGTTGTAGGTCAGGCCTGGAGCAGTGGCTCACACCTGTAATCCCAGCACTCTGGGAGGTCGAGGCGGGCAGATCACGAAGTCAGGAGTTCAAGACCAGCCTGGCCAACATGGTGAAACTCATCTCTACTAAAAATACAAAAATTAACCAGGTGTGGTGGCTCATGCCTGTAATCCCAGCTACTTGGGAGGCTGAGACAGGAGAATTGCTTGGACCCAGGAGGCAGAGGTTGCAGTGAGCGGAGACTGAACCATTGCACTTTAGCCCGGGTGACAGAGCGAGACTCCATCTCAAAAAAAAAAAAAGGTTGCAGGTCTGTAGCCTCAGCCAGGTGGAAGAGGGACACGTAGGCCTGAGCAGGGAAGGATGGCCCCGGGACTGAGCAGAGATGCCTGGGTAGTCTTCAGGAGGGCTATTGGAGATCCAAAATGGAGTATAGTACCACCAGGGGAAAGCAGGAAGAGGGACGAGAGGGATGACTGTCAAAGAAAGGGGATGTGGAGGGGGTTGGGAGCATATGAAGTCCACATGGAGTGGCTGATTAGAGGGAGAGCTCATGGGACCACACTGATGGAACTCAGCCACAGAGTGGAAGAACCTCAACCTTGCCCACCCCAGCCACTGCTAAAGATGGCAAGTGTGAGCCCTGTGAAATCTGTGAACTCTAGGACTTGGTCTGCCCAGAAAGCCAGAGGTCTTCCTTCTAGTTAGCTATTTCATGTATGTGCAGGTGCGAGGGTTCCCCTGGACACTGGCCTGATGGCTTATCTCCTCCTCTGTCCCCTCTGGGCAACAGAGTTACTATGATTCAGGGGTACAGGTTGTGCTAGAGACATTCTGGAGGGGAATGAAGCTAGAGTTTCACATGATTACCCTGTAGTCACTGTAGTCAGCCAGAAGAGGTGGAAGAAACTCTGGTATCAGAGTCTCTAGCTGTGTATCCTTGGGCAAGCTGCATAGCTCTTCTGAGCCTGCAAAATGGGAACAGGCTGTGCCAAGCGTCATCCTAAGTACTTTCTGTGTATTAACTCACTGAAGTGTCACAGTGGCCCAGTGAGGTGAAACTATTGCTGTTTCCATTTTACGAATGAGGAAACTCAGGCATGGGGGCAGGGGTGTTGTGTGATTAAAAACTTGCCCCAGGTTGCATCAGTTCCTAGCTTATGGAAGGTACTCAGTAGTGTGCAGCCACTTTCCCCCGAGCTGTCGCACACTTCAGGAATCCCAGGGTGGAACTAGACCTTAGGAGCATCCAGTTTAACCTTCCATTTTATTGGTGAAGAGACTGAGGTGCTGAGAAGATGATAAATGCCCCGTGATTGACCTAATCAGTTGAAGACAAGTTGGAGCTGAAACCTGGGTTCTTTCCCTCCTCTCTCCCAGGTTCCCTGTTCTGTTGGTGTTCCTTGGAAAGAAATGGGTGTGTGAGCATGCAGGACCAGGGAAAGAGTGGCTGGCCATGGGGGAGTCATTTGGCTCAGGGTGGGTGGCGGGGGGGTGGTGGGACCACATGGTTAGGGCGAGGCTGGCCTTTTGGGTGTGAGGGCAGATCCAGGTTCATGCCCCTAAAGGGCTGATTTCACTGTGTTCTTCCCACTGTGCCCAGGAATACCTGAAGGGCCTGTGCAGCCCGGAGCTGTGGAAGGAGGTTCGCTACCCACCGATCCTGCACTGTGCCTTCCTTGGGGCCCAAGGCCTCTTCCTGGACTGCCTCTGCTGGAGCACCCTGGCTTACCTGGTGCCTGGCCCCCCTGGCTCCCTGATGGTGGGCGGGCTGACTGAGTCTTTCATCATGACACAGAACTGGCTGGAGGAGCTGGTGGGGCGACTGCGTTGGGGCCCTGCCCCTCTGCTGACCCCCCGGGGGATCTGGGAGGCTGAGGTGACCCGGGCCTTTGGGGCCCTGGTCTGGATCCGTGGTGACCAGCATGCAGGGGACCTACTGCAGCTGCCCCCAGCAGTCCAGGAGCTGCTGCTGAGCCTGGTGCGGGATGCTGCGGGCAAGGAAGACATCATCGAGTGGCTCAGCCACTTTGGCATCTCTGACAGCCACTCTGACCCAGAGGTTTTGATCTGCCCACCCCAGCAGCAGAAGGAAGCCCCAGCCGTGGTATCTGTGGGAGAGAGTCCTGGACCCTTTCTGGACATGGGGACCCTCCAGAACAGGGGCCCAGAAAATTCAAAGAGGTTATCTAGCCTGGGAGCCACTGGATCCCTGATCCCAGCTCAGAGCACACCGCAGGAGACAGCAAACCAGCTGGTACGGTAAGTTCTGGAGAATGAGTCTGGCTTCTCTGATCCTACCCCTGCTCCCCTACCCCAAGGAAATAGTAGTAGTTTGGGACCACACTGGCCTTCCACCTTTTCAATGAACTTGGGCTTCCTCCAGGGTCGTTTCCAACAACCAAGGTGGTATGGACAGTGCTCGAGAGGAAGGGCCAGTACAAGCCACCAGCAGCCAAGACTCCGCGAACTACACACAAGCCTTGCTGCAGCAAAGGCAGGTCCAGAGGGTAGAAGACAAACTCCTCTTCCAACCTCCAGTATCAGCCCTGGGTGTGTGCCCACCCTGGAAGGCCTGGACCCCGGGGACAGCCTTTGGGCCCTTGTGGCCTGGGACTATTGCTGCAACCTTCTGGAGGATCAATGAGCTGCATTCTCTCCATCTGGCCTGGCTCCTGTCCCAGGCGTGCTTCAATTTCCCCTTCTGGCAGAGGCCACTGGGACCCATTCAGTTGAAGCTGCCAGGGCAGAATCCTTTGCCCTTAAATCTAGAGTGGAAGCAGAAGGAGCTGGCTCCTCTCCCCAGTGCGGAAAGCCCAGCTGGTAGACCAGATGGGGGGCCGGGAGGAGAAGCAGTCCTGCAAAATTGCCCACGGCCAGAGACTCCCCCAAAAGTTATGAGTTTATTGGTGGTCCCAGAGAGCTCAGATGTAAAGGACAAAGTTAGCTCGGATCTTCCACAGATAGGGCCACCCTTAACCTCTACACCCCAACTACAGGCTGGAGGTGAGCCGGGGGATCAAGGGAGTATGCAGTCTGACTGTAAGGGACTGGAAGAGGGACCTGCTGCAGTGCTGTCAGCAGGGAAAGGGAAGCCCATGGCTCAGCGGGGGCTGACAGATAATTCAGTACCTGGAACTCAAACAGTGCCTGAAGCTCTCAAAGTGCCCATGGCTGCAGCAGTGCCCAAAGCTGAAAATCCCCCCAGAACTCAAGTGCCATCTGCAGCCCCCAAAGTGCCTACATCGCAAATGATGCTGGCAGTGCACACAGAGCCTGCAGCTCCCAAAGTGCCTTTGGCTCCAACAAAGCCAGCAGCTCAGTTGATGGCCACAGCTCAAAAAACAGTTGTGAATCAACCGGTGTTGGCAGCTCAAGTGGAACCCATAACTCCAAAAACTCCCCAGGATCAGAAGATGCCTGTAGCGAAAACATCACCTGCAGGTCCCAAAACACCCAAAGCTCAAACTGGGCCTGCAGCTACAGCTTCCAAAGCACCTGCAGCTCCCAAAACAACTGCAGCTCCCAAAACACCTGCAGCTCCCAAAGTACCCGTGACCCCCAAAGTCTCCAAAGCTCCCAAAACACTTGTAGCTCAGAAGGTGCCCACAGATGCAGGGCCAACCTTGGATGTAGCCAAACTTCTGAGTGAGGTCCAGCCTACATCAAGGGCTAGTGCCTCCTTACCGAAGGGCCAGGGGCAGGCTGGAAGGCAGGGTCCCCAGCCCAGTGGTACCTTGGCTGTCAGCAGTAAGCACCAGTTTCAGATGGAGGGGCTCTTGGGGGCTTGGGAGGGGGCCCCAAGGCAGCCACCTCGCCACCTGCAAGCAAACAGCACAGTGACCAGCTTCCAGAGGTACCATGAGGCCCTGAATACACCTTTCGAGCTGAACCTCTCAGGGGAACCTGGAAACCAGGGGTTACGGCGAGTGGTCATCGATGGCAGCAGCGTGGCCATGGTGTGAGTAGTCACGGGCATGGGGTGGGCTGAGGATGCTCTGGAACTGGGCTAGGGCATCTCTGGGGGGTATGGGCATCGCTTTCCGACTTTCCTGTGGGTGACACGGGGAAGAGATGGGAGGGAAGTGGACCATGTTGAGTGGCTCCTGCATGCCAGGCAGTGTGCATGGAATCCTCACAGCAGCCCTCAAGGGCAGATTTCTGGTTTCCCTCTCTATAGATGCTGAAGCAGGCTCAGAGGTGGGACATCTTGCCCAAGGTCCCTGAGCAAGGGGTCCAGCTGTCCTTTGGGCTCAAATGTGTCCACTGCCAAGGTCCATGCCCTTCCCAGGCTAGCTTTTAAACTTTTAGCCCAAACTTCAAGGCCCAGCACAGCTCTCCGCTGTGAAGCTTTTCCTGACCGTGCTGGCCCTTAGCGATTGCCCTCCCTGCACAGCACTTACTGCTGTAGAGGTGTTAGCATAAACACGTGCATGCCACTTAATTTGCCACATGATAAGATAGTTACCTGTGCAGAGCACACTCCTAGCACACAGTAGGTGGCCAAGGAATTTTTGTTTGCTTTAAGCTCTCAACTGAGCTCTCTGAGTGGAGGGGCTGCCTTCTTCCACTTGTCCTCAGTGGGCCTACACACATGCATGCACACAGGTACAGATGTGCACACACACACACACACACACGTTTCCGGCAGTGCCCCGCACCCAGTAGGTGCTCACAGAATGTCTGAGTATGGAGGGAAGGGGAAAGGGCATCGTTGGTGTCCTTGGTGCTGGCGTTGCCTCCTTGATGCCCCAGGGCTGGCTCTGAGTGAGCAGTGGTGAGGCAGGGCCTTTTCTTGTCCCACGACCCCACAGGCATGGCCTCCAGCACTTCTTCTCCTGCCGAGGCATTGCCATGGCAGTGCAGTTTTTCTGGAACCGGGGACACCGAGAGGTCACTGTGTTTGTACCCACCTGGCAGCTGAAGAAGAACCGGAGGGTGAGAGGTGAGGTGTCCCCGGCCTGCCCGGCCTCCACAGTGTCAACAGCTGTCTTATCTCAGCCTTGCTGCCCCACCCTCTGCCACCCCAGAGTGGCCATTTCTACTTCGCCCTCCCTTGACCATTTCTGTCTTCTGCCTGTCGCCCTCAGAGAGCCACTTTCTGACGAAGCTACACTCGCTCAAGATGCTTTCAATCACGCCCTCCCAGCTCGAGAATGGCAAGAAGATCACCACCTACGATTATAGGTGTGCCGGTCCCCAGGCCTGCCCTCCGGGGCTCAGGGAGTTGGGCCCGCCTGGTGTGTCAGGTGGAGTCCAGCCTGTCTTCTCTGGGGAAATGGAGGCAAACATCTTGGGGGGGCGGGTTGTGCAGAGGGTGGGGTGGAGCACGGGCCTCCGTTGGCAGAGGGATTGGCACAGTGAGGAGAGGGCTTGATGTTGGCTCTCCCCAAGCCCGGAGTTGTTCCTGACTTTGGGATTCTGGAGTCCATCTCCCTTAGCTAACAGGCATTCTTCCCCTGTGACCTGTGAACATGAGGTTCCCCCATCAGATGGTTTGGGCACCCATTCGGGTTGAGGCTGTGTCTCCAGATTGCTTTAGTGTTTTCCTCCCTTGGAGCCCTGGCACTGGAGGAGGTCTGTGCATGGCTGATGTGGATGGGGCCCTGAATGACTAAACCACGAATTCTTGTCTGCTTGTCACTCCTCAGCATGGCTGTGGGACCACTGTGCTCAGGGGGAGCCTGTGACCCTGCCTTTCTCAGGGCAGGGAAGGCCCTGCCATAGTCACGGTTCCAGGGTTGGAGTTGATGCTGGGCAGACAGAGGTCTTGGTTTCACGTAGGCAACTCTCATGCCAGGCAGGGAGAAGTTCTGTTTCTCCACATTTCTCCCAAGACCTGGCACCCAACCAGGACTGAGAAGGGCTGGGCAGAGAGGCTCGTACATCCCTCTTTGTAGAGCTAGTCCCCTGGTGTCTTTCAGTGCCTCTAAGTTCCGGTGGGGGTTTGAGGGAAGATGGCTTTTCTGCAGACAGTCCCTCTGCTGGGCACTTGTGGAATAGCATGCTTGGGGAAGCCAGAAGGGAAAGTTTCAGGGAATACTGAAGAAGCAGGTAGCCTTTGCTTTCTTCCCTGGTCACAGACCTCTTTAGAGGAGAGGTAATTCTTGGAAAAGTGAATTTGTTTATTCAAGTATGTGAACTTATATGTGCTAGCGTATATATGTATGTATGTCTTGACATGTGTATGAATGTTGTGCATTGGTGAAGCATTATAATGGAATATTTGTGTGTATGCTGTGTCACAGGCAGTTACCTAGACACTTAAAAGCATTATCTCATTCAGTTTTATCCTCACGGCAATGTGGGGTAGGTATCTTAGCTCTGTTTTACAGATGCAAAAACGGAAGCAGTAAATATACATGTGTGAATGTGGATGAATGTGAGTTTCTCTGTCTGTGCATGTGTACATATGTGCCTATGTGTATAGCAGGGGTATGTGTTTGTATATACAGCTGGGAGTGTGTGCATCTTGATCCTTACCAGTGATCTCACATAGCTGCAGAGAGGAGCAGGTGGGCTTGAGGGTCCTGGATTTCTGGGTAGGAAGGGCAGTGCCTTTGTCTGACATACCACAATGTGAAGCTGCAAGTTCATTTTCCCAAATGACCCAGGAAGTGAGGGGGCTGGTTACTGGGTCATTAGTGACTCCCTCTCTCCTTGCAGATTCATGGTAAAACTGGCAGAGGAGACAGATGGCATCATTGTCACCAATGAGCAGATTCACATCCTGATGAATAATTCCAAGAAACTGATGGTCAAAGATCGGTAAGGCAGCTCCCCAGAGGCCTGAGCCATTCCTTCCCCTTGGATGTTAGGCAGCCCCTGGCAGGGGAGAGATTAGGGCAGGAAGAGAGGCCTTGGAGCAGTGGCCACCAGCGCCTGCCAGGATGTGGGTCTCAGCCCCACGGAGAAACCATGTGGGGGGGTCAAGTGTGTGGGGGGGTCAAGGGCTCACAGTGACTGTGCCTCTTCTCCCTCTGGGCCCAGCTTGCTGCCTTTCACCTTTGCGGGGAATCTCTTCATGGTGCCTGATGACCCCCTGGGCCGTGATGGCCCCACCTTGGATGAGTTTCTGAAGAAGCCAAACAGGTAATGGGTCAGGCCTCCCCAGCCTCCCAAGCCCTTCTTGGGCTGATCAGAAACTTCCCCTTAATGTTGGCCAACATTTGTCTAGAGCTTAATAATGATCAGAGTGATCTGATTTTTTCATGTCTCCATACTTGTGCCACATGTTTATATGTTCATAAACCACTTGCAGTAGGTTTTAATACATACATGAAAGCACATATGTAGAATGTAATTTTAACATTCTATATGCATCCTTTAATACATAACATTCTATATGTATCTTTCCACAACTGGCATTTGCACTCAATGCTTTATTAGTTTTTTTCAGGTGTATCCTATGCTAATTCATGTAGTTCCAGGTAATGGTCATATAGTATTCCATTCCATGAGTATCCTATAGATTTTTCCGTTTCCTTGTGAGGGCCATTTGACCACTTCCATTATATGCTGTTGAGTCCAAGGCTGCAGTGAACAGCCTTGCTCTTATTCTTTCTGTCCAAGGGAAGCGGTGTCTAGAATATTCACCAAGTAGGATTTTTTCTATGTTTATTATCTCAGTTGATCCTCACAACTTGAGTTATACATAAATGACCACTGTCCTCATTTTTTTTTTTTTTTTTTTTGAGTTGGAGTTTCACTCGTGTTACCCAGGCTGGAGTGCAATGGCGCGATCTCGGCTCACCGCAACCTCCGCCTCCTGGGTTTAGGCAATTCTCCTGCCTCAGCCTCCTGAGTAGCTGGGATTACAGGCACGTGCCACCATGCCCAGCTAATTTTTTGTACTTTTAGTAGAGACGGGGTTTCACCATGTTGACCAGGATGGTCTCGATCTCTTGACCTCGTGATCGACCCGCCTCGGCCTCCCAAAGTGCTGGGATTACAGGCTTGAGCCACCGCGCCCGGCCCACTATCCTCATTTTATAGATGAGGCATCTGAGACTCAAGTGACGTTTCCAGGGTCCCGTTGCTGGTGCCAGCAGAACTGGTTTGCAGTAACTCAGATCCTCTGCTGCCCACCTGCCGGTTCCCAGATCCAGCAGGGGACCTTGTCAGGATGTTCTGGGCAGGGCACTGCTTCTCCGGGCCCAGATCCCCCAGTCTCAACTTGCTAGTTTGGAAAAAAGTGATGTGGGTGAGGTTTGTCTGCTGTGTCCTCACAAGTCCCTTGTCAGGCTCTCCTTCACTTCGGTGACCCCCCACCTGCCCCCAGATTGCTCATCCAGCGTTAGGCTGGAAGCCGCCAGTCATCTCTTATCAAACCATTATTGGCCTATAGCTAAAGTGTTACTTTGTCAGTGAGGTTTTGATTGGATGGGCCTTCAGAGCACAGATGCACCTCTAATATTGGGGGTCTGGCCCATGCAGGAGGTAGAGGAAGTATTTGTAGGCAGGGTCCCAGCTGTGCCTACGCCATGCAGGTTGTTGGCACTTGGCCCAGCCTCAGGACACTTTGGAATGGGGTTTCCACAGAGGTGCTTTCCCTTTGGAGGACTGCTCAGGATGGGGCTGCCCCTGCCTCTTCCATGTGTTTTGGTATAGGTTGGACACTGACATCGGCAACTTCCTGAAGGTGTGGAAGACCCTTCCTCCCAGCTCAGCCAGTGTCACTGAGTTGAGTGATGACACTGACTCTGGGCCCCTGGAGAGTCTGCCAAATGTGGAAGAAGTCAGGGAAGAGAAGGAGGAGAGGCAGGATGAGGAGCAGAGACAGGGGCAGGGCACGCAGAAGCTGGCTGAGGAGGACGATCTTGACTCTTCACTGGCATCAGTGTTCAGGGTGGAGTGCCCGTCCCTTTCGGAGGAGATTCTGCGGTGCCTCAGCCTCCACGACCCCCCTGATGGAGCCCTGGACATCGATCTCCTGCCGGGGGCAGCTTCCCCCTACTTGGGCATCCCCTGGGATGGGAAGGCTCCCTGTCAGCAGGTTCTTGCCCACCTGGCCCAGCTCACCATCCCCAGCAACTTCACTGCACTCTCCTTCTTCGTGGGCTTCATGGACTCCCACAGGGATGCCATCCCCGACTATGAAGCCCTTGTGGGCCCCCTGCACAGCCTCCTCAAACAGAAGCCCGACTGGCAGTGGCACCAGGATCATGAGGAGGCCTTCCTGGCCCTGAAGCGAGCCCTGGTGTCTGCTCTCTGCCTGACGGTCCCCAACTCCCAGCTGCCCTTCCGCCTAGAGGTGACTGTGAGCCACGTGGCCCTGACGGCCATCCTTCATCAGGAGCACTCAGGGAGAAAGCATCCTATAGCCTATACCTCAAAACCCCTCCTCCCTGATGAGGAGAGCCAGGGCCCCCAGTCAGGGGGAGACAGCCCCTACGCCGTGGCCTGGGCCCTCAAACATTTTTCCCGCTGCATCGGAGACACCCCAGTAGTCCTGGACCTTTCCTATGCCTCCCGGACCACTGCGGACCCTGAGGTGCGGGACAGCCGCAGGGTTTCCAAAGCTTGGTTGATCCGATGGTCCCTCTTGGTTCAGGACAAAGGCAAGAGGGCCCTGGAATTGTCCCTCCTCCAGGGCCTGCTGGGGGAGAACCGCCTGCTGACCCCCGCGGCCTCCATGCCTCGCTTCTTCCAGGTTCTGCCGCCTTTCTCCGACCTGTCCACCTTCGTCTGTATCCACATGTCGGGCTACTGCTTCTACCGTGAGGATGAGTGGTGTGCTGGCTTTGGTCTGTATGTTCTGTCGCCCACCAGCCCCCCTGTCTCCCTTTCCTTCTCCTGCTCTCCTTACACACCAACCTATGCCCACCTGGCAGCTGTAGCCTGTGGCCTGGAGCGCTTTGGCCAGTCCCCGCTCCCGGTGGTTTTCCTCACTCACTGCAACTGGATCTTCAGCCTCCTGTGGGAGCTTCTGCCCCTCTGGAGGGCCCGGGGCTTCCTCTCCTCTGATGGGGCTCCACTCCCTCACCCGAGTCTGCTCTCCTACATTATATCTCTCACCTCTGGCCTCTCATCCCTTCCGTTTATCTACCGAACCTCCTACCGGGGCTCTCTGTTTGCTGTGACAGTGGACACCCTGGCCAAGCAGGGTGCCCAGGGGGGTGGGCAGTGGTGGAGTTTGCCAAAGGATGTGCCAGTCCCTGTAGTGACTCCCCATGCCATGGGCAGGAGGCCCAACTTGCTGGCATTACAGCTGAGCGACAGCACCCTGGCCGATATAATTGCCAGGCTGCAGGGTGGGCAGAAACTGTCCGGCTCCTCACCCTTTAGTTCTGCCTTTAACTCACTCAGCCTTGACAAGGAGAGTGGATTGCTTATGTTCAAGGGAGATAAGAAGCCCAAGGTCTGGGTAGTCCCAACGCAACTCCGGAGGGATCTGATTTTCTGTGTGCATGACATTCCCCTGGGGGCCCACCAGAGGCCTGAAGAGACCTACAAGAAGCTGCGCTTGCTGGGGTGGTGGCCCGGGATGCAGGAGCATGTGAGAGATTACTGCAGGAGCTGCTTGTTCTGCATCCCCCGAAATCTCATAGGCAGCGAGTTGAAGGTGATTGAGTCCCCGTGGCCCCTCAGGTCTACCGCTCCCTGGTCGAACCTGCAGATCGAGGTGGTGGGCCCGGTCACCATAAGTGAGGAGGGCCATAAGCATGTGCTTATTGTGGCCGACCCCAACACCAGGTGGGTGGAGGCATTTCCCCTGAAGCCCTACACACACACGGCAGTGGCCCAGGTGCTGCTTCAGCATGTGTTTGCAAGGTGGGGTGTTCCTGTGAGGCTAGAGGCAGCCCAGGGGCCCCAGTTTGCCCGGCACGTCCTTGTGAGCTGTGGGCTGGCCCTGGGGGCTCAGGTGGCTTCCCTGAGTAGGGACCTCCAGTTCCCCTGCCTGACAAGCTCAGGGGCCTACTGGGAATTCAAGCGGGCCCTCAAGGAGTTTATCTTCCTGCATGGGAAGAAGTGGGCAGCCTCCCTGCCCTTGCTGCACCTGGCCTTCAGGGCCTCCTCCACTGACGCCACACCGTTCAAGGTCCTGACCGGTGGTGAGGCCAGGCTGATGGAGCCCCTGTGGTGGGAGATGAGCAGTGCAAATATTGAAGGGCTCAAGATGGACGTCTTCCTGCTACAGCTGGTGGGGGAGCTGCTGGAGCTCCACTGGAGGGTGGCCGACAAGGCGAGTGAAAAGGCCGAGAACAGGCGTTTCAAGCGGGAGAGCCAGGAGAAGGAGTGGAACGTGGGTGACCAGGTCCTCCTGCTGTCTCTCCCCAGGAATGGCAGCAGCGCCAAATGGGTGGGTCCCTTCTATATCGGGGACCGGCTGAGCCTGTCACTCTATAGGATATGGGGCTTCCCAACCCCAGAGAAGCTGGGGTGCATCTATCCCAGCAGCCTGATGAAGACCTTTGCCAAGAGTGGCACCCCCCTGTCCTTCAAGGTCTTGGAGCAGTGAGCGAGAGCAGCAGGGGAGCCCCCTGCCCCAGGGCCCTGGATTTCTGCTGCTAGGCCTCCCCCTGTCCCAGCAGTGCTCTCAGTCCACTGGGGACCCTCAGTTGTGCCTTTTGTAGAGAAGTTGCTTCATAAAGCTTTGCTGAATTGCCTTGAACTAGGGACCAGCATCCACATGGAAACATCCCCAGTTTGGGGTACTTGGAGAATTTGCCAAAGGCTGTCAGATACAGGTCTCTGGCAGTTTTACATTGGGAAGTAGAGTCCTCCTACTGGGATATACCAGGCTCAGTGTCTTTTCACTAAGTATCCTTTTCCCCTTCACACGTCATAAGTGTGTGGTGGTGTGCGCACATACGCCCACCCCAGAATCTTACTATCTTGGCCATGAAACTGGCTCTAGACCTCAGAATTGGAAACAGTCCTTTCCCAGACAGAAACCCCAAATGTGGGCTCCTCCCTCCAACCTGTTATTTTGGGGACCTTTTGCCCTTAGAATTGTCACAGCTGACATAAACCTGGGCAGGCTGTGGGGAGTGCCTCCTAGCCTCATGGTCAGCTTTCTTAAGCCAGGTGTGGCCTGCTCAGCTGTCAGGGCAGGGCTGGCCATGCTCCCAGGCCTCGAGGGCAGTGTCTTGGAGTAGGAGGATGGCCGGCCACGAGCCATCAGCTTGTCAGCATGGGAGGGGCGGGGGGAAATGGGTTGGCCTACCTCATTTGACTCCAGGCAATGGAGACAACCAAGACCCTTGCTTTGATGGTGTCCACCCCACAGGAATCAAGGATCTTGATGCCAAGTGTGGCATCTCTACCTGAAGAGCTGCTTCTGTTAGACCCAGGGGCCCCAGCCTCTGTTTTAAGGGGGGAGGGCGTCTGCAACAAGAGGCTGGCACACGGCAAAGTGCTGGCATGGCTCTACCTCCCGACCCTATCCCAAAGCCCATCGCCCTCTACTCCTTCCATCTCCACTGTACCCCGCATCCCAGACCCTACAGATTGTGTGATTGCTTCATCTGTATCATCCCCCAAGTCCTGTGGATCTGCCTTCTGTGTAGAGCAAAACCCAGGCTCCCACGCAGCCATTCTTTGCAGAGAGCACCCTTGCAGTGAGAGTGAGTTCCTCGCAGGTACGCTCACCCCTCTAAAGTGCTGCCATTGTCAAGGAAGTGGGCTCCATTTGAAGGCCAGTGCCATGTCACTCTGGCTGGCCTTCTGAGTAGTCTCATTTCTCCAGAAGCTGAGCCAGTCTCCTGGTCTAGTTCAGGTTGCCAGAACGCATGGCGTTGCAGAGTGCTAGAACCAGTGAAGAACTCGCCATCTTGCTTGTTTTACATCAGAGGAAAGAGGACCACAGAGGGAAAGTGACTCGCCCAAAGTCACACAGCTAGTTAGAGGCTGAGCTGAGACCAGGGTTAAGCTTCCTGATTCCCAGTTCACCATGAAAAGGGTTCTAGCAACAGATTCAAGCTGGAGAATCCTTCAAAATCCTATATCCACATTCTCCAACTATTCATCTCTCCAATCTTCCAGACAAACCTTCTGGATGTTGCCTTTAAACCATTTCTAGCTGTTAAGCCTGTCCAGAAAAATGGTTGAGTGACAGCTGAGAAGTGGAAAGGTGAGCTGTGGGATATTTGGCAGGTGCTCTCTTTCATACTCCCCGCCGCCCCTTCTTTCTCTTCCTCCTACGCCCTGCAATGTTACGTCCAGCCTCACTCTCCTCCCTGGTGCTGTATGCGTTCCCCTTGTTAGCTGCATTTATGATCACACACCCTTCCTTTAAGTGATTTTTTTTCATTTGATTTGTCAATAAACGAATCAAACTGGAGCTGATGTCCAGTTCTTTGTTTAGCTTTGGTCTCAGTTACAGGGAATAAGGAGTGTGGGGCAGTCACGAGGCATGGCTGCTGTATGTTTCCCAGATACACTTGCAGATTTGAAGGCCTGGATAGCGACTTTTCCAGATTATCTGGCCCAGGCTCTTACTGTACAGAGCAGGAGACCAGGGCCCAGAGTGTGATATGCCTAAGGCTCCATAGCTGGTTCATGGCAGGGCTGGAAGGAAAGTCCCACCTCTGGGCCTCTAAGCTGGTACCCTTGGCAGTTCCTGTCTTAGAAGTGGGCAGGGTGGGAATGAAAATGAATGATGAGGCCTGGTGCGGTGGCTCATGCCTATAATCCCAGCACTTTGGGAGGCCGAGGTGAGTGGATCGCTTGAGGCCAGGAGTTCAAAACCAAACTAGCCAACATGGCGAAAAACTGTCTACTAAAAATACAAAAATCAGCTAGGTATGGTAGCAGGCGCCTGTAATCCCAGATACTGCTTGAACCTGGGAGGCAGAACTTAACAGTGAGCCAAGATATCGCCATTGCATTCTAGCCTGGGCGACAAAGGGAGACTCCATCTCGAAAGAAAAAAAAAAAGAAAGAAAAGGAAGAAAGAAAAAGAAAGAAAGTGAATAAATGAATGCTGAGAGAATGGTGTTAGTGCTGAACCAGCTTGATTGTACTGGAAAAATGATAGACCTAGGTTTGAGTCTATATTTGCTACCTATGCGGGGCTGTTTCCTCAGGCCTGTTTCCCTATCTGTAAAATGCAGGGTATCAATTCCTAAGTTATGAGATGGTTCAAGGATTACATGAAATAATCTGTTAGAAGAGGTGAGTATGGCCAGGGATGGAATAGCATTCATCACATGTAGCTAACATTACTCTTCTTCCTACCCTAAGAACTCTTGCTGTTCTCTCCCCTCAGGCTCAGAGACCTTCTTTATTTTTTAAATTATTTTTTTGAGATGGAGTCTCACTGGGTCACCCAGACTGGAGTGCCATGCATGATCCTGGCTCACTGCAACTCCTCTGTCTCCCAGGTTCAAGAGATTCTCCTGTCTCAGCCTCCCCAGTAGCTGAGATTACAGGCAACTACTACTTCGCTAAGTTTTGTATTTTTAGTAGAGAAGGGGTTTTACCATGTTAGGCTGGTCTTGAACTCCTGACCTCAGGTGATTCACCCACTTTGGCCTCCCAAAGTGCTGGGATTACAGGCACAAGCCACTGTGCCCAGCCTAGACCTTCTTAACCCTGGCCAAGCTTCGTGACTTTAGGCCTTTGCTTTTTATTGCCTTTCTCACCTGCCCAGGCTTCTGCTTAGCACTGGTAGGGATATGGGTGGGGGTGGGAACCATCCTTCCTGAGAACTCCCCAGCTCGAAGGTATACCATTGTTCATTCAGTATTTATGGGACACCTATTGTGTGCCAGGCTCTGCCTACGTGTGGGATGGCTAGCAGGTAACAGGAGGGACACGGTCTCTGCCCCTTTGCAGCCCACAGTCAGGTGAGGGAGACAGACAATCCAACAAACAACTACAGTCAGGGTGTAAGGGAAACAGTGTGGCCTAGGAGCCCATGGCGCAGGGTCCTGGGGTCAGCCCATGAGACAGTCAGAGAGGTCTTCCCTGAGCCCCTTCACCAAAACTAATAAATTGCTCTTGGTACAGGTCAGCAATGGAAAGGGTCAGCACTCTAAAGTGGAGGCCTGACTGGAAAGGCGGCTTGGTGAAATCCTGTTACTTTTTACTCTAGATAACTTCAAGCAAGCATCAGATTTTACTCACACTGGCTTATAAGTCCTCTGACAGTGAGGTTTTTCTTCTTTACTGTTCAACAATCTACCAGGTCTGAGCAGAAGTTTGAGATTCCTTTGTTTTTGGAGGGATGAATTAAAGAGTTTTGTCCACAGTCAAGCACCATAGACATTCCAGGCAACCAGTCACTGCCTTTCTGGTTTACACCATCACAGTTTTTCCTTCTCATTGAGGCCCTGGCAGGAGGGCTTCCCCAAGTTTCTAACAGAGAAATATAAAGTTCCCAGTATCCAGACAATCCCATGACATAGGCAAACAATAAAAATAAGGAATATCCCTATCCTGCACCCTTGTTAAAACTTACATAAATATCTGGCGAGGTTGGGACCACCTAAGCCTTGCTATACCACGCTTTCCTAGCAACTATTTACTAAGTCCACGTGTTCATGAATAAAAAGGAACACACCTGGAAGACAGAAGCTTTGTAACAGGTAAACAGCTACAATAAATCAAAAATCCTACCTGCTTTTGAAAGATTGTCCAAGAATCCCTGAGACATGCCCAAGTTTTACCTTGTTTACTAATTCATCTGGTAACAGTAACTTACATATACCGAGTACTTGCTCTGTGTTGGGTACTGTTCTAAGTGCTTTCCAACCCCGTGGGGTATATAAAATTAATATCTCCATTTTATAGATGAAGAAAATGAGGCATGGAGAGGTCAAGTAACTCACTGAAAGTCATGTGCAGCCAGCCACTGAGAGGCTGGATTTGAGCACTGACTCCTGTGCTCACCAACTTTTTTTTTTTTATGACAGAGATTTGCTCTCATCTCCCAGGCTGGAGTGCCATGATGCGATCTCGGCTCACTGCAACTTCCGCCTCCTGGGTTTGAGCAATTCTCATGCCTCAGCCTCCTGAGTAGCTGGGAATGCAGGCGCATGCCACCATGACTGGCTAATTTTTGTAGTTTTAATAGAGATGGGTTTCACCATGTTGGCTAGGCTGGTCTCGAACTCCTGACCTCAGGTGATCCACCCGCCTCAGCCTCCCAAAGTGCTGGGATTACAGGTATGAGCCACTGTGCCTGGCCTTGGTGCTCACCATCTTAATCACTATACTACTGCTTCTGACAGAAGTACACTCATTTGTTTGTTGTTAGAATTAGTCTCCCCTGCCTTAATCTATGGTCTTTCCACCTGTTATTAATGTACTACATAGTGTCTGCTAAGATGTCTCCATTAAGATACTCCATCCTCAGTAAGATGATTCACAAACTAAAAGGGATTTACCTCCGTGGGGTCCAAGAACTATTCTCTTTGTCCTGATAAGTTTTGACTGAAATGCTGTACTCTCTTTTTCCAAAGAGTGCCGTTTTCCCTCAGCTAATAAGTGGTGCTATTTCTGAAGCTTGCACATTCTTGTAGATGGTGAAAAATGAAGTAGTGGAGATTCCAGGAGCTGAATTGTGAAAGATCTCGAAAACCATGTTAAGAAATACGGATTTCACTGGCCGAGGTGGCTCATGCCTGTAATCCCAGCACTTTGGTAGGCCAAGGTGGGCAGATTACAAGGTCAGGGAGTTCAAGACCAGCCTGGACAACATGGTGAAACTCTGTCTCTACTAAAGATACAAAAAATTAGCCGGACGTGGTAGTACGCCTGTAATCCCAGCTATTCGGGAGGCTGAGGCAGGAGAATCACTTGAACCCGGGAGGCGGAGGTTGCAGTGAGCCAAGATCGTGCCATTGCACTCCAGCTTGGGTGACAGGGTGAGACTCTATTTAAAAAAAAAAAAAAAAAAAAGAAATATGGATTTCGTTCTGAGGCCCACCTGGAGCTCCCAAAGGGCCTTAGGCAGTGAAGTTTATTTACACAGGTCACTAAGGCAATCACAATCTGGAGAATTGAAGGGAAAAACTGGAGACCACAGAACCAGTTAGGAGGCTTTCATAGAAATCTAGCTAAAAGATTGTTAGTTTGAGCCAGGGTGGATGGAAAGAAACGAATAGAACTGATGGATGTGAATGACTAGATATGAGGGTTCTGGGAGAGAGAAAAATTAAGAATAATGGCCGTTTTTGGTTTGGGCAAAGGGGAGTTCCATTTACAGACACAGAGAACAAGGGCGGGAGAACAGATTTAGGAAGGAAAGACTGTAACTTCAGGTTTTAACATGTAGACTTGAAAGTGGAATATTCAATGTATGAGTCTGAGTTTTAGAAAGGGGGATCCTGGATAGAGATAACATTGACAGCATGTGCATGGTCATTTGTGCCTTTTTGAGTGTGTTATGACCAAAGAAGGCTAGGGCAGAACCCTGATGAAAACTAACACTTAAGAGATATAGGGCACAGGCAGAGAGGTGGAGGAAAAGCCAGGGAGCACATAGTTGGGGAAGTCAGGGCAGAGAGTGCTTCTGGAAGGACAGCATGTTCAGCACGGTCAAATGTTAGGGAGAGTCGAGTGGCAGGAGGACTAGGAAGTGTTCACCAGCTTCAGTAACACGGAAGTTCTGAGCCATGGCTGAGGGCAGTTCAGGTGGGGCAACCGAGGCCATAGTTCACCACTGATTAAGAGGTGTGCAACTGGAGAGTGTAGACATTTGTACTACGATACTTTGCTTTAAAGAGGAGATGAGCTGACATTAACTAGCTGCAGGCATAGATAGGGCTGAGGATAACTACACCTATATCTACAACTACTTCCATGCCTATCTTCTCTTTTAGATTTAAGAGACGTGAGCGCTTAAACTTCAAGAGCTGCTGAAGGGAAGGAGTGAGTAGAAAGGAGAGTGACAGATGAGAAGATGTCTGGAGGAAATTGGATCCAAGACTGGTGGATGAAGATAGCAGCTTTGACAGGCAGAGAGACTCGACCCCCACCGAGGCAGAGAGGAGGAGGCAGAGATGGGGAGGAAGGTGAGTTTGCAAGTGTGGTGGTGGACAGGGTCCTGCCTGGAGTTTCTGTGTTCTCTGAGGTTGAAGGTAAGGCTGTCTGCTGCTGACTATGGGCCATGGGGACAGAACTGGTGGGGCAAAAGATTTAAGGAATGAACAGAAGGCAGCAGTGGATTCTGGGGAAGATGAGTGGCAGCTGGCAAAGGAAACCAGTAAAGAGTTAGAGGATTGAGGATTATAGGATTGAGGACCAGATATGGCTGGAGGCCAAGGATTTAGATCCACATTGAATCCTGCGTCAGTGGAACTTCTCTGTAGTAATCAGCTGCCAGGGTGTGGGCAT